CCCCAAAACCCCAAAACCCCAAAACCCCAAAACCCCTTGGTATATATTTAGAAATGAAACCTTTTCATATAACTAAATATGGGAAACAACCTCTGCGTCATCGACCAACAAAACCAAATGGATCAAAGCAGGAATATGTTTGACCAAGTAAAGAAAAGGTAAGAAAAAGAGTTTTCAATAGTTTATACGTAAGCTAGATACTTCTGAAGCTTTAGTAGGACATGAACTTCATCTCTTAATACCTTTTCTTGCACTTTGAGAAAGACAAAGATTTGCAAATTTACCTTTACCCGAGGAAAAGAGAGATTTTAGATCTTGCTTTAAAGCTCTCAGACATATTTGGAGCTATCAAGCTCAAATTTCTTAATTGATAGTGAGTCTTATCTAGCGATGATTGGAATCCCGTGTCCATGACTACTACATTTTCTATTATCGTACCATTCACTAGCATAAAACCCGGTCTAGGATTATTCGATTGCTAATTATCCGAGCCTTCTCCAATTTTCATGTTAGTAAGCTAAGTAAAAATGTTAGCAAGAGATCCGTTGGCTAAACTTAATCGACATCCTATATGAATACTATCAAACTTATCTGGATTTTCATATCTTAACTGCACAAAGAGCTAAATTAATTTTAATGAAATCGGAATAGACAAGTGTAGTAATTTTTGAGTGATGAAGAATTTTAAGTTTTATCATATGTTTATGACTCAACTAACCTATTTATAGTAAGTCCTGAGGCACATGAAAAAATTTGAAGAAGAAAGGTAAGATACCACCTCTTACCATTTAAATATAGACTCAAATAAATTTGACACAGTTAGTTCTTCAGAAACCCAAGATTCCAGTATAGGTAAGAAACACCTGACCAAATTTTGCACTTTGTTTTTTCAAATTTCAGATTGGTCCAGAAAACTCATATTTCGATTTCATTTCACCAACCAAATGTTTAGAACTTATTGCTTGATAGAAAATTCTTTAGGCTTGCTCTAGTTTTCATTGATTATTTCTATTTTTACAGTTGCATAAGCTTTAATTTCAGCCATTTTTCTCTCCTTTTGGTTGATTTGACGATTTCCATTTCTAACACTCCTTAGTATACGTCCTCTCAAAGCACCCAAGCCGTTTGCCTCAAAGACACCACAGTCTGGTGCCCATGAAGGCCGCAGAGGCTGATAAAATGAAAGCTCTCACTCAAAAAGTCAGAAGCATCACCAAGCGCGACTCTTCAGTATCTCTGAACGACATGGTGGCACAGAAGAGTCATCACGAGGAAGCTTTCCCAAAGCTATTATAAGAATAATTTATATAAACTAGCCTTTTCGATAAACTTCTCTTCTAAATTTGGGGAAAACCAAGCCATTGGCTTAGAGATAAGAAATTTTCAGTTGATTAAGAAGCCTTCGAATACTTTCAGAATTAGTCAAGATTTAGAAATAAGAAAACATGTGTAAGAGAAATAAAAGTGCTTATTATATGGCTTCTGTGAAACTTGACAGAAGAGAACCAAGAGTTTGTATTGGTGGGGAAGATTAATAATAGTAAACACCTGCAAAAAGTGTATAAATGGGGTTCTCTTTGTCATTATTTTAGAGAAAAATCCAGGATTTTTCACTTAGGTCAAAACTCGCTTTTAAGCCTTCTTTTAAGTCTAGTTAGGCTATCTATAGTCATGTCTAGTCCATAAAGGTTAAAAATATTACTTCCTGGAGCTTTGGATTGAACTAGATTTTGGCTAAATTTAGTCCAAAAACCAAAACTCATAAAGCCTTTAAAAATTGATTTTGAATTTCTTCAACTTTATATCAGTGCTCTGGGGTTTTGGGGTTTTGGGGTTTTGGGG